ATCCCAATTTTTTTCATAGGGGAGGAGCATGGTATTTAAAGCAATTTTTAGTATTCTCTTTGAAATACAGACTACCTTATGAGTAGGACATCTGCCCACTTGAGAAATCCATTTTGTCCATGTACCCAAGTAGTTATTTTTCATGAAGGATTCAGATAATAAGATACTTATTACATGACTTGACATCTACGGCTAGTCATATTTTTTAATAAAATATCTTCTCATTACAAAACAATGATTTACCAAAATTGAAATTGTTTGTTGGTTGGTACTGGAGAATTTCCAATTGACACTGTTGAAGCAGCCCAATTCCATTTGGTCTAACTGAACACTTTCTGTTACTTAGTTCAAAATAACTTTACATTTTGAAAAGTTAATAAGAATATAAAGCCTGAAATCATCATAAAGCAATTATTAACATGAACATTTTGTTTGATCCAATCCACAATTAATTGCAGATGTGTAGTCTGCAAAACATCTCCAGATTTTTATTTATTCCTATTTAGGATCTTTCCCCACAACAATTCTAACATAAATTGTAACAAAAAAAATCTCATAAGATAGAAAAAAACTGTTTCCCACCCAGCTCTACTTAAATCTCTGGGGAAATCTCAGGGTCTTAGTGGCATCCTGGAACTACTGAAGCATTTGGTATGATTTTCAAGTATGGTAACTTGCAAGCAAGATTATCCCTAGAAAAGGAAAAGAAAAAATCCTGTTATCTACAAGAGGCAGAGGCTGGAAAGTGAGCACCTGTGATTCATAGATGTAGCCAAAAGCAGAATTGGGCCCATAGTTTTTATTGGTTGCCTGATTCTAAGGAGGTGTCTATAAATAAATTTGCACCAAAAATCCTGTGCTGCATGAGTTGGATCCAACGAGAATATTAAAACTGAAACATAAATCTGGATTTTTAATACAGACATGGACTTACAAAACATTAAAAATAAAATATAGCTAATCTCTATGAAGGCAGAAATAGGATCATCAGCACTGAAGTGAGTATCGGGTATATCATAAATAGGGGATGTGTGGTCATGCCCAAAGGTGGTAATGGGTATTAATTCTCTTAAATATCTCAGTTTAACATTTATTTAAAATATTACCTCATTTTAGAAGGAGAACTCACAGGCACTTTTTCTTAAGTAGTACACTAAACATATTGCATCTTTTTATATTAAGAGGTCAAAAGGATGTAGTATTTTCAGACTATGATAAAATTAATTGGAAAGCAAGATAAGAGGACATTTCTACCACTATTTTCCATTCCTGTTCTGAGACAATTGGAATGAAGGAGAATAATGTGGATAATGAGTCAGAACTTTATGGCAAGAATCAAGTATACTACAAAAATGAAATCACCAACAGGGCAGTTCATTCTATTACTCAATAACTTTTTGGTGGCAACCCCCCCCCCCCCAACCA